AAGGGAAGGGAAGGGAAGGGAAGGGAAGGGAAGGGAAGGGAAGAATACAGCATTACCAGACTCGGAGGTCTCAACACCCGTCATGCAATGATGAAAGTGCTCTGACCCAGGGTCTAGTCTAGTGAGATGGAAAGGATGTGTGCCAACCAAGCTTCAACTCCTTAAAAGCTGGTTTAGTAAGATGCCAAATGATATTTCAGTCTTCAAGTGCTGCATTTTTGGTCAGTAATCATAAAAGTAAACAGTTTCTGACTTTTTTCTTTTCCCTGGGGAAAATGTGTCTTTTCCTAACAACATAATTTTGTGACAAATCTTGGCTTGCAAGACTTCATGATAGTTCTAGACAGCTTTAAATGACAGATTTTTAATAGCTGTGAAAAGACAGTTTTGAACTTAAAAAAAATTAATTAATGAGGCCTTTTTCAAATATTGTTGCAAGGCTCAAAGATACTATGCAATTTTGGTTTTACAGAACAAGTAACAAAAGGATAAAAGCACAGTCCCAGCAAGCTTGTATTAAAATCTGAAATAGTTCTAAAGTATTTTTCTGGTAAAACACTTGACAAACCTAAAAAAATAAGTGCAGATACAATGCCTATAAAGGCATTATTTTACACAATTTATTAATGAATTTATCATTATTAACTAATGTGGCTGCCTTGTGTTCCTCGTGATAATTTTTCATCTCCTCATGTGTCAAGTCCTTCCATACATACATATTGATCCACATTCTCAATACACAGGTATTTTGTGCTGTTTATGAATATCACTATGTAATTATTAGCAATCACTTCTGTGAGGACCAATGCAGCATTTTCCTCCTCTGAAGCTGGGATAAAGCTCTGTGATTCACCAGCATTTTTTCTGTGTCAGGAAACCTAAACCTTACACTGGTTCCTGTTGCATGGAAAATGTAGCATTGCAGCTATCAACAGCAGGAGCTCAGAAAATCCATCTCATTTCTATAAGTCAATTAAAAAGGAAGCAGGCAATTACAGAATGAAGAGACATGTTGTTACTTACACCATACAGCTCTGTGCGGATTCTTACAAAACACCTCCTGTACCAAGTTCCGGTATCGCTCTCTATTTCTATGAGCTCATCTATCTGCTTAGGTGTTTTGATTCTGGTAACCTAGAAATAAAAACAGAACAAAAATATTTGAAGTTTCTGGAATCATGAACTGCCTGTGGAGCAGTATGGGGTGTTTATTATGTGAGTATGGGAGTATGGGGGTTTATTACACCCCATCTATAAAAATGAGCAGATACTCATCCTGCGTCTAAACTAGACATATTTTAGATTTATGAAGGAATAGTAACACATTGTAATGCTGAAGTCTTTATGGATGCAATTGTTTCAGAAAACTCTGTGTTCAATGCATGCTGGAAATAAATTTTCTCTGCCTACAATAAGCTGTTGCTGTCTGTCACATTCTTTTAGAGAGTTGTTGTATATACCTCTGATGTCACAAAGGGTAAAACATTAATTTAAACCACCAGTTAACTGTGCCCAGAATTTGCCTTCAAATTGTTTCAGACTTGCTATCACAACATTTTTGGAAGTCTTTTGCTAAAGGACACAGCAGTGAAAACAGAAGTATTCAAAATGTTATGAACTAGTAGCTGGACAACCGTTTTATTTTTATTTTTATTTTCTTAGTGTTAAACAGGGAACTCAATGAAGAGAGAAGGAGTGAGCTGAAATGATCTGGACACATGTTATTGCTTTTATCATCTACTTACCTGAAGTGAAATGAGATAAACAGACATCAGGGAAAAATACAGAATTACCAGTGACAGAGAATGTAATGCATCTTACAATGTTAATTTTTACTTTTACTCTCTTGTGTAGCAGAACCAGGATGTGTTACATGGTCTTTCCAGACACAGGACCTGAGAAACTGATAGTACTATATGGTTTTTGGTTTAGTTTCTACTCTGGTCCCAGCTTCATAATTATATCACAAAAGGCAGTGTATTCGTCCACAGTTTATTTTAAAAGATGTGCGAAGAACAGAAAGAAAATTAATAAAATGAGGAAATGGACTGACACAGAAGGAAGGAGAAAGCAAGAGACTGCACATTTGGTGTTTGGCTGCAGTTTCTGAAATTAGACATACCTTCTGTTTCTTCTTAACAGAATGAGGACACCCCCTGTGCCCTTCTCCACAGTATGCACTGTGACAGGACATCAGGGAATAGCAATATTGACAAAAAAGCTCAAGTTGTGAGCCCACTGCTTTTACAGATGTATTCTATTTGAGATGCAACAGCAGCCTCATCCCATGAACAAGGATATAGTAAAGCTCACTGAGCAGTTTGAGGTATAACTGCCCTCATTTCTGAAGTACTACAGCTCACTGTTTTGCTAGATCATGACTTTATCAAAAGACTCTAACATTCTTGTCATGCCTCTTCCAATAATCCTGTCCACATCATTCCACTGATCTCAAGCTTTTCTTAAAATGCTTTCAGGAAATATGTTATACAAAAGACTGAGTCAGGTCCTCAGAAATTGTCTGATATCTCCTACATACAGAAATCCTTGCATACCATGCCTCTGGGGCTTTTGAATCCCACTCTTGTGGGCTCAGGGACAACATTTTCACCGTAATGGACACCTGATTCAGTTGGAACTGTGGAGATTAGGGGAAACATATGTATCCTAGGACATTGTATGTAGGGGACAAAAGTTCCCTGGCCTTGGTGGTTCTTTAACATATGAAAAGTCCTATTGAGTCAGATAACAGTCCATCAGGAGCATGCAAGTTCAGCATGTCAGTGTATGATGAATGAAAAAAAACCCCAAACCCAGAAAAGAAAGCCAATTTTAATGAAAATGATCCTTCTGTTTAAAAACAATGGTTAGAAATATGCAACGTTTTAAATTTTAAAAATCAATACTTGTTGCAAGAAAAAATATTTGCAGGAAGAAGAATTATTACATGATAATTTTTTTAAAAAAATTAAATATTTAAACCAAGAGATCTAATGAATAGGTATTTTAAAAATCCAGGAAGATAATAAAGTGTGTACATAAACATCTAATTTAGTAGTTCCATGATTGAAGATATTATCAATTTATTAGTGTCTGTTAGTGTCACAGCTTTCAGAACAAATTTGTCAAAGTATGAAGAACTACCCTTTCAATTAATTCAGGAATCAGAACACTCTATTTTGGATTAACTCTAAACCCAGCTGCTTGTCAGTTGATGTCATTTCTTCCTGAAGGCTTGAAGATAATCCCCTCAATAACATGAACAACAAGAATAAACATAACTTGTGAAAAAAAGCTTCTAGAAAAATATTAAATCAATAGAATGCAGGAAAATGCATAAAAGAAAATCACACTAAAACTATAGACGTAATGGAGAAAAAGCCACATCATCTATAGAGTCAGAAAATATACTATCAAAGGGTGTCTGATGTAATTAACAACATGAAGTGGAGGAAAATAGTAAAGTGTAAGTCATAGAATGGCATTGGATAAGCAAAGGAGGACTATGGAAAGTTTAGGAGAAGTACGTGAATAAATTACTGAGACAAAATGTCACAATCTTGAGGACTGACTTAGGAAAAAAACAAACTAAAAGGATATGCCAGACAAATTATGCATAGGTTCTTTATGCATAAATTTTTCTCTGGGTTTTATGAGATGAAGTGCTGATGTAGTACAATAAGAGGAGAATGATGCATTTTCTAATTATATTAATGCAAGCTAAAAATAGAGACTTCTATATATGTCTAACCTTGACACACAGCACAGTATTTCTAATCTCAATTTGATAAATGGAGTAGTCATCATAATGCTCAAGGCAGAAACTGGCAAAATTAATGGCTGATCAATTTACAAAAGTAACTGTAGATAAAGTGTCTGAGTGTCACATTTTAACAGCCACAGGGACAAAGGCTTGCTAGACCACAAGAGCTGGAAACATTGAGCATGTGCTTTGTTTTCTTCTCCGCAGCTGCTTTAAGACGTGATTATGATTACGTAAAAGTGACGTGAGAGGCTTATCCTTCCTCCCACATTTTCTCCTAACACATTTCTGTCTTCTGCCTTGTGCCTAAACCAATACTAAAGGGGGACAGGGTCAGCACCGTGGCTGGCTGTGAAATCAGTCAATGAATATCGATAGTAGCAGAAAAGAACCCCCTGGAGTCACCAAGAGCAGGCATATTCTGTCTGAGAGCAGCTCAGGTCGGCGAGAGCCAATTGTGAAATTACACCATAGCTATATGGCGTTAGGCAAATCCCTTTACTCATAAATTAAATCAGAAAATAAAATATTAGATTAGGTGGGATTAGGGGTAGGTCACCAGTGTACCAATAAAAGTGGAGTTAACATGGTAAATGTCCTAGCCAGCTTTCTTTCAAGTTAAATATAGGAATTCTTGAGCTTCTTTGTGGAGATGTTTAAGTGGAGTCAATGGAAACTACATCCAAGGCAGCAAACTGCAAGTCTCAGTGGAATATAAGTTATATGGTCAGATGGTCATTCCTCAAGACTGCCTGCAAATGCAGAACCTTTAAGAGGATTTCTTAATTGAGTTATATGTGTGTTATAGTAAGAAGAAATATTCTAGAAGAGGAAAAACATCCCACAGGTACTGCCACAGCACTGCACAAGCTGGAGAGGCTGACTGGATTTCAAAGCAAGAAAGTGCTGTTTGATCCTACTGTATCCAGGAAGTCAAGATGGTTGTGTATAGTCTTCATAAATAACGAAGAAGCCATAAAAAATTCAATTTTTGAATTGACATTTTCTCCTCCTATAGAAACCACCCATCAATACTTTAAATAGGGTCTTATAATTAGGCCTCAACATAATTAACTGGAGTTTCCAATACATTTTGAGAATATTAAAAGTTTGAAGTTACTATTTTATAGAAGTGAAAATGCAGTTTTTAAAACCATTGTTCTACCTGATAAGAATGGAAAAAAATTCAAAATCCTAAAGACACAGCAGCTAACTAATTTGGACTTCTATGTGCCTACTATTATTACTAAGGGTTGAAATAACACTCAGATGGAATCTATAAACTATCTTGGTACACCAGATAAAATTCTCATGCTGTGGCTTCATACACCCATGAATATCCTGGCCAAAGGCTGATTTCTTAGCAGACACTATATGTATAACAATTTCAGTAGGAATTCACAATACTTATTATTTAGGTATTTAGAGTGCCAAAAATTGGCTTAGCCTTTTAGAGTATTAATATTGATTATTTAAGGCTTCCAGACCTCACCAATCAGGAGGCTTGCTGATGTGATAGGTGATTAGCTTTAAAAGCAATACTCACAGTGAAGACCTTCTCAGGCTGACCACGAGCACGCATGTTAGTGTCATGAATTTGCTTGAGTATCATCCAAGCTTCATCATGTTTTCCAACCTGAATATTAGAACAAAACATTTCAGTACAACATACATACAAATTAAGTTACTCACTATAGCCCCTGAAAGATCTAAATGCCTGTTTGGTAGAGGTCATGATATAAAACAGAAATAATTTTGAAATTTGGAATGATTTTGAAATTTTTGAATCTAGAAACCGTTTAGAAAGTTATACCTCCAGCAGGAACCGTGGGCTCTCCGGCATAAAGGTGAGGGCCACCACAGAGGAGACACAAGGCAGTGCACAGACAATCACAAACACTCGCCAGCTGTGGAACTGGTAGGCAGAGCCCATGCTGAAACTCCATCCTGTGGAAGCAGAAATTCACAAAATGTAGACAAACAAGGAGTATTATATGCATTGTCCTATACATGCTGCCTCTTGGAGATTCAAAATGACAGCTATATTTAAATGAAGCCTGACTGACATATTTCCACAAGTATCAGTCATCTGAAAAATAATTTTACAAGTGACTTTTAACCTTTTGCATGTGACTAGTCATGCTGGAAAGTGGTTGTATTATGGATGAAAGACTTTCTTATGCAGGGATGAAGAAGTTTCTTTCAATTCTCTTAGCAAAATCTGTATTAAGGTAGTTATTTGAACCAAAGAGGGATGTCATCACCATGCATAAGAATATACATACGAAGAAATCGTTTTCTGTGCACAATGGAAATGGAGAGACTTAAAAATCTACACATAAATCATATACTTTATGGAATTACATAGCTTTCCTTAAGATCAACTTTTTCTACAAAGTTGATTTCAATACTCTTAATAAAAATCAGCCATGTGAAACGGGAGGGCTGGTAGTTCAGCATTTTAATAAAATACCTTGTTGATTGGTATATTATGGCTGGACTATTGAAATGTTATAATTGTAAGAAAACTAAGAATTTACAGCAGAAATTTTCAAGTAAAATTTTCAAGGATAACTTACTAGAAGGTGAGGGGAAGATAAGAATAATGGTGAAGGACAAAAGAGTCCTTTTGAATTCTTGTATAATGAAAGAACTGGTATACTGGATGAATCTATTCTTTGCTACCTGGACTTTCTAGGCAAAAGACATAGCTAATTAAATCTGTCTGAACATCAGTAAACAACTAGTAGGATGCAGTACCAAATGACATGTTAAATTGTCCTCCAAAGGAGGTATTTATGCAAGAAACGTAAAGCGTATTTTGGAATGTGAAGATTCTATGCTGTGGATCACAAACACATTAATTACTGGGGAAAAGATTTCTTTGTCATATTAATGTACTAACATACTACCACATACTGAAAAATACTGTCAACCTATTATTAATTTTTATTCTTTATCAATGTTTTGGTGAAACATCTTAATCAGCAGGTGTGGGAATGTGTTTATTTCTGGCCTCCTACAAACTTCCTGTGTTTCTGAAATTATATCAGTTTGCTCTACAGCTTTTTAGCATGGGCACCTTTACCTCAGGGAGAAGGGGATAAAATCAATAATAGTATTGACAATAATCTTGGGATCCCATGTTACTTTTAAGGCTCCATATGGACATACTTTACTGCTCAAAATGTCCTTCCAACTAAACAAGGATGTCTAGAAATTAATGTTACATTTTATCCCAAAATAAAACTTTGAGTTTGGAGTTAAAATTTACAAATAAGCATGTAAATAAAACAAAAACCAAGACATAGAAGTGTATTAGGATTCACTCTTTTTGATTTTTGGAAAACGTTAACATTTCATCTCATGGAATTTCAAGTCTTAAATTATATGGGTGTCTTTTGCATCTAAATTGTGAAGGGAACAAAATAAAGAAAGGTTTACAGTGTGTTGAGGAAGCAATTAGAGACCATATCTGTGTCTTGGACATTGTGTACATATTTTATTCTAAGAATTAGAATCAAATTCTTCATTACATAATTTAAAGTAAGGCACAAAATCACCTGATGTAGAATTTGAAAAATAATTTTTTGGTGAAGGTAATTTTTGGTCTGATCAGTGAGTTGATCTGAATCTCTGGGCAGTTGTGCAAGCTGCAGGGAAGGCAGCACAGGATGGGTGTTTTCATCTTTCAGAACATTCAGTATCAGTCACTGGCTTTTTTTGTTACTAGAAACTGTTCCAGAAATACTTGAAGCCACTGGTGTAGTTAGGCAATCTGCCTTTCACAGCTCCAGCTCATATTTTGTGAGATTAAGCTGTACAAAGGGCAGTTCTGCAGTAAATGAAATCAACCAGGTTTTATACCTGTTATAAAGCAACAGCAACATCTTGTGCTCTGTATTCAGTCCTGGAAAATTCTCTTGGTAAGTTATTTTTAGTTGTCATTTATTAATATAAGTGAACCGTAATACACTTAATTAAAAGCAATAAATGCACTGTTCATTCTGCTGTCATTGTGACAACCTACAAAACCTCATTTTTACTCCTTAAAATACCTGAGGGATTTTTCAAGTGAAATGTTCATTATAGTTTTTATTGTTTTCGTTCCATCTTTTCCAATATGTACTGTATTAGCTGCTGCAATTTATCTTGTGATTTAATGTATCTGCTGAATTAATGATAAAGAGGAATGTCAGGATTATAAAAAGCAATTTGTAGGAAAAACCTGGAGCTGCAACAGACCTTTCTGGAGATTGTTCCTCCCATCTATTCCAGCACCAGCACTAGATCAGCAAAACAAACATGTAATCCAAATGCACAGCAAGTTTGGATTTATTTTTATATTTAACACATCCTTTTTCCCCAGGTCATGAGCTAATCTGGATAATGGAGCCATTAGTGCAGCTCTGAATTTAGCTCACAAAGTGGCTTTCATTCCTTTTGTATGCAAGTCTTGAAAATAAATGAAATCGTGTTCTTGGCTGTAAGTCAACCTCCTTCTCCCCTGATTTATGGGAAAATAGCAAAGGCACAGCAGCACTACATGGCTGCATCCAGAGCCCTGCTCAGCAACTGGAGCCAACCTACACCCTTGCTCCATGGCTATGCTGTATTTGAGAGTCATTAATCTTGAGAATGGGGGCAAGTCCCAGTGTTTTATAAATTGCAATACATTTGGCCCAAATGCATCTTGGGGGTAGTGTATTGTAGAGCAGCCCAAAACCTGTGATGGCTGAATCTGAACCTGCTGCAGGAACCTGCTAAATACCACCCTCCTGCTTTCCTGGCTGCTGTGAATCACAGACATGGCAATTACTGATTACAGAAACACAGGAGCACAAATCAAAATGTACAAGATGCTAATCTGTATCCAATCACAAATTTATGAGTTGAACAAAATGTCAACAAAACTTAAAAACAGCATACCATCAGCTCCATAATATTAATGTATCAAAAAGATATTAGAAAATGCTTGCTCCAAAGGAGAGAGAAAAGAAAATTTGTCATAAACTTTCTGAATATATAGAGGGGATCTTATATCATAAGATGAATTTTAGTAGTATATAATATTTGATAAACAGCAAGTCTCTTCAAGCATAAGGATCCTCTCTTAGAGGAGACATGTTAAGAGAGAGCAGATTTATGGGGTTTATTTGCTTAATTTTCCACAATAAGGGTTGCAAGGAACATGATAGATCTCTAAAAATACATACATGTTACACTAAATTGCAATGTGGGCAATGAAAACATGGATGCCCACAGGCACTGTATAAATATTGGCTGGCAAGGAGACAGTTTATATATACCAGAGGAATAAAGTTGTGAACATCTTTCTAAGACACTGAAGTTGGCAAAGAAAATCCTATCAAATATTGTTATTTTATGGCATGGTTAGCTAAAGACTGAGCATTTTGACAATTTTTGTTAGTCATTCAGTATGAATAAGAGGAACTAGTTTCATGGCAGTGTCATAAATTGCCAAAACCCGACTTTTCATAGATTTCTGTCTTTTACTAGATCAAAGGAGGGAGTAGATATAAAAACATACTTAAAAATGAGATAGGGGAGAAAGAGAACTGAGGAACTTGGAACTCATAGACTGTACAGTTTCTTCCAAAGAATTATTTATATGATCTTATAGCTTTTCTTATTTCTCTTTTATCACACAACCCTTGGTCGGATGCCATCTTTCTAGCCTTCATTCTCAATGTTTTTGTTTGAAATATTTACGGTAATCAAGAAGCATGATTGCTCTAAATTGTCACTTGGTGGCACTGTTACCGTACTCAATAGAAATTAAGCTTAAAACTATTGCAGGAAGACTTTTGCTATTGAATGCTGCTGTTTTGCAGAAAAGCTAAAGCATGTTTATAAGGACTGAAAACATTTTGAAGCTTTCGTCATTCAAATACCTTATAATTGTACTTAAGTTTTTTCTGTCCTGGCAGTACCAAGTTTAACTGTCAGTGTCATCCAGGATTTGTGACCATATATTGTAGTGCTACTCATTACAATAAAGGTGAAACATCAGTGAAACTGAAAAAAAAACTTCAGGTAAGCTGTGCAGCTGAGGAGGATCTGATACACATTTTTACAAAACTGGATGAAAACCATTATTTTATACAATCATAGAAACGATGTTTTCAGAATTTTTCTATGTTGTATTACTGTGAAATTCCAGCAGTGCAAAGTAGAACACTTGTCTTTTTTGTGATTAAATTATTAATATCACATGGGAAAAGTAGTGTTATTTTTAGCCTGTATAGATAGTTAGATACTCTACAAACCTGGTCTCAGCAGGTCAGCTGCTGGTAATTTCTGAAGAAAGAATATGCAGGCTGTGATGCAAGGAAATTAACAAAGACGCACAGTTCTCTTGCTAAATGCAACTAGCCCTTGAGGATCACCAGTTCAACGGAAGAATGTAAAAGTGTTCAACAGATGTATTTTGCAAACACATTAGATTCAGAGCTGGTCTGCTGACACTTAAAACCGTGATGAGAAGGAACAAGGCATTTTCTAAAGACACATTTCCTCTGTCTCAGAGAAAGGGGTTTGTAAGCACAGACTTAAGTCACTCTGTGCTGGCATTGGTATCTATCTGAAAACCTTTGAAAATCAGGTCTCCAGTCACTCCAGTGGCAGTATTTTCTATTTAGACAATCCCTGGGACAGCTGCAAGAAGAGCCAATCTTGCATAGAAAACAATTTGCTCTCAAATGCTATCAAACACATTCCTGCATAGCACTGTAGTCCTGGTGTAGTAATTCTGATCTGTGACATCAACAGCCCACTTTTTAAATTTCTCTAACACCTGCTGTAGAACTGCCCTGAAAAGTTTTACTTTTTATTAAGGAGGAAGTTTGTGTATCCTCATACTTCAGAAAATTATATTATATATGTGCCCAAAATTTGAGGTTTAGTAATGACAAGTAAGGCTTTCA